CAAGTTTCATCTCAAAAGGACCACCCTAGCGAAAATGGCGACTGTTTTAAGTTTTTGAAAATAATTGAAAGCTTAATTGGTATTTATGTTAAAAATAAGTTTAGTAAAACAACACAAACAATTTAGTTAAATGTTTTTTTTAGTCACTTTTCAGTTCACCACGTTATAAACTACTGTACTTCGTAACTGGCTTGTAATAGCATTTAAAGGAAACAAATACGGACCATTTAAATAGCAATGTTTTTAAATTTCAAACAGTCGCCATTTTTGCTAGGGTGGTCCTTTTGAGATGAAACTTGTGGCTCCTTACTCAGAAATAAATGCCCTTTAAAATGATGTATCATTTACCATATGCTTCCATTAAAACTTTTTACTAGGACGTTCCCTATAAGTGGTAAAAAATTGCATAAGGCACCAACAGATAGGTAAAACCATAGTATATCCGTACACAAAATATCAGTTGTTTTTCTTTAACCACTCACCAGATATAATGTTGGTTCCAGACATTTTCAACACCCTGTATATAGATGATCCTGACTAATGAAACAGCTGATCTTAGTCACTAATAACAAAGCTATACAGATCATCTCACAACATTCTTCACTCATGGGTTGAAATACGCACATAGGTGGCATCCCCATCTCATGAATTGATAACATTCATAATACGCTCTAACAATAACCATCCAAAAATTGAAAGATTACGGAAAAAGTACAAAATATTAATTAATTACTGCATAAATATTTTTGTATAGGTTGTGGCGTTATACACTGAACGCTAAGCGTAGAGATAATCGTTTTGGCTTTAATACTCTGTGATGTTGCACAATTTACTCATTTTTAATATAGACAATTTTCTCTTGAAAACTGTTTAAACACAGCACTAAATTTTAACCTTTTCAAGATTTCTACGTAATCACGCACACCGGACATGATAAGTTTATGAACGAAGCCAATGGAGCGTATATTGTCTGGTTGCCAATGAACGGATCAATAGGTCTCAATATGAGAAATTTAAACTACCCACTCAGGTTAGCAATTGACTGTGCTGACGTCACTGGTTGATTAGAAGAATGTGAGTCTTGTTGCCTACGCTATCTGCAAGGTAATAAGGTAGAATGTTGTTGGTGAGGGAAAAATACAGAGGTTGAAAGATCCCATGAGCTTGGGTTATATTTTGGAGTTTAGTTTGGACGCTGTGAGAAATGTTTTGCTCAAGATCGTGGTTCAAAATCAGTATCCAAACATGTAAAATGCAAAGCTATCACTGACTCACTGACTGACTCATCATTAATTCTCCTACATTTACATAGCAGGCTGAAATTTGACACACTGATTCTTCAGGCATTAAATAGGAAATGTTGGAGAGACTATTAAGGTATTTGGAAAAAAGTGACAATTACGTGATCAAACTCATGCTAGGTTATGACCCTTACTTTACTTTTATCAGCCATCAAAGTAGCAGCTTGATCGGCAAGGTGATGGCGACACCATCCGGATTAATTACGAGAACAAAATGCTATTCTCGAAAAGAAAACAAATATGACTCCTGTGTCATATTGTAAAAACAAATACAATTAAGATAACGAAGAAGAATTGTGTGAGGCATTGTATTGACCTTTTATTGTTTCGATGTATTGTATCGACTACTTTGCTTTCTATCACGCTACATACTTACACAAAATATACAAATAACTCGACAAAGTTCCTCCGTTATTATCACAATTTGTGACTCGTTTGTCTAAAATATCAAACATTTGTTACATACGTTATCGTGATGTTTTGATTGTTTAATCTGTTAGTGTTACCAAGGAGTGTGGTGACGAGGCAAGACAGTTGAGTGTTTAATTGACTAAATGACCGCCTAGGTCATGTCCTCATGTCTTTCCTGTTTTGTGGAAGGAGCAAAATTCATCTGACATTGGGTCGGACAGAAAGTAGAAAAATAACACCTACCCAGTGAATAAAAATAAATAAGAAGGTGCAGGCAAACAGTAATGCATACCTATCTCATAAAAATAAAATAAAAAAACAATTAAATCACTTAGGTAATCGATGAAATTTTTAAGTTGTTTTATTGTAGGGCACTGTTTTCAGTATATTTTCTTCAATGGACCATTTAAGTTTTAGAATAAAATAGCAACAGTTCTGGCTACTGTTAGTTACTTCTGAAATAATCTACCCAGTCTTGGAATTTAAATAACAATTCAAAACTTCAATTAAACAATCATATAACATTTATATATGGCAGAGTACATCGTCCTAAAACTGCCTCAGTCCGGTGGGGTTTCGGCTCTCTGGCCAGAAACAAACTAGCTGTAGTACAGTAGGTATAAAATCATGATTAAAATTGTTTAACAAAGCAAACGTTGCAAAAATTAGTACCCCCAAAAGTTTATCCAAAAAATACAATTATCTACTTGTTCTGATTATAGACAAATATTTTGAGGCCTAATTTTGGAAAATGTTAAGCAGTTTAGAAATTCACCACAATAATTTAAAAGCGTGCACATTGTAATTTCCTACTTTGCAACTAAAATAAAATAAAAAAAAGCCTAACAACAGCATTCTTGTTCATTAAACATGTTTTTTGAAGTATGAAATACTGTATGAAGTGTATTTAGAAAAGATAATACGGCAATTGTTAAATGGTAAATATGAGCCTTAATACAAACATGGATTAGTGTGTTTACTTTGTCTGCCACGATGGAAAAATGTCAGACTCTTAAAACTAGTGTAACCTAGACAAATCTTTGGTTTCTACAGTTGCTTTGTGTTTCATATACAGGGTGTCCCGGAACGTTCTACCAATATTTTAGGGCATTGTTCCTGGATAAGAAAATTATTTAAATATCATATTTAAATTGTCCTGAAGTCCCTAGTTACTCACACAGCTGCCTTTTTCTTTTATTCCCTTATTATTTTTTTTTTCTAAAAAGTAGTTAAACATACGGAATTGAAACTTTGCACAACCATTTGTGATTACTAGGCAAAGCTACAAATAGATTATGACAATTTTCCAAATTCATAAAAAAATAGCGACAGTTTACAATTTTGTTTGTTAAATTACTCAGAAACCACTGATTTTACAACAGTTTTACAAGAATTAATTTTTTTTAGCAATTTGCAATTAAATTGCCTTCAAAATGTTATCCTTCTAAATTTTTGTAAAATCAACGGTTTTTAGGTTATTTATGAAACAAAATTGTAAATGGCCACCATTTTTGTTTTTTGAATTTGAGAAATTTTCATAATATTCTTTGTATCTTTGTCTAGTTGTCAAAAATATTTGTGAAAAAATTCAATTTCGTATGTTTAACCACTTTTCAAAAAAAAATTATAAGTGAAAAAACCAAAATGGTGGCTGTGTGAGTAACTAAGAACTTCAGGACAATTTAAATATGATATTTAAATAAGTTTCTTATCCAGGAACAATGCCCTATTGGTAGAGAGTTCCTGTATAGGGGGCATCCTGTATAGGCCTATCAGCTATCATGCATTTATTTGTTCATTATCATAATAATATTCATAATATAATAAATAAATAATATTATTCGTAATATTAAAATCTAAACCAGAGGTTTGGGAGGTTTGGAGTAAGCTTACCTGAGCCTATCTTCATGGTAGATAATTCAATAAATGTTTTATATGCATTTTATGCTGTTTATAATTATTTTGTTAACATCTATTGCATTATTTCAATCATTATTTAATTTAGTAGCTAGTATTTTATCGTTGTGTTTCCTGGTATTCCTATTTATAAAAATGTTTCTGTCAATAGGGCCTATGTATGTATAATTAAATCAACCTCAGTGAAAAAACGTTTAAATCTAACACTACTGTGAAATAAAGCAGAAAAGTAACAACAATGTTTGCTATAGGCGAGCATGGAACGTGAAACACCATGTATATTTCAATGTACAACACTAATCGTACGCGTTTTAGAGCTAATTCACGTACAGTATTTGAACTGTTCTAACAATGTTTGAGAGACTATAGAATTTCAGGGTTCGTCACCAGAAGATTAAACAAAATAAGCTAAACCCTCCTCTAGTTTGGGTTTATACTTTCAAACTTCTGGTTTGAAAGCATGATTAATAATAGCTATACTAAAATGAGCCCAAATATCTAATTTAAATTATTTATGGATAGATTGTCTTGGCTTTTGTATTAGAAGCTTTAATTCTCTTAGTATTTTTTCATTTCTTAAAATTTTCAAATAAGTTGAGTAATGTAAATAGCTGTACAATAGTTCAGAAAAATTAGCAATGCCTAGCATTTCTCAACATAACCTAGTCTTAACAGAATTTCTTTAAATTTTCAGAACAACCTAACTTAACTAAAACGGTCCAAAAATTTGAGATACTCCGATTTTGCTAACCCAACAAATAAATAAACCGGTCGCAGCAAACCTGCAGACTAAGCGAATTTCCATTTGCCTGATTAGATTTACACTAAAATGTCTCCTTAAAAATATTACATTTATTCCCTATTTTACTAGAATTAGTTTAACGAGTACTTAGGTTTGCTGCAACAAAGAGGGTAAAAGTGTTTTTTTTAATCGTTTATAAATATATACAAGCATAAATATTCATAAACAAGTAAACTACAACAGTTTACTTAATCTCTATAAGGATAATATGGGAATTATAAATTAAAAACTTTTGTAATTTTCCCCGTAACCATTAGGCGCAAAATAATTTTATTTCGCGTTTCTAGGTGAAAACGTACTCCTGGAAAAGTATGTGTACGGGTCTGCCTCCCTCTGTATGTGTGCGTGTTCCTTTTAGAACTTTGACGACGTTTTCGAAGCGACAGTTTTTAATGCTCTTGTACAATCTGGAGATGAGGATTTAGTCCTCGAAACGCGTTCTCCATAAGGATAACTCTGGAAGTACTCAGGTCATTTTATAACTTATGGATGAACTACTGTAAAATTATGTCCCTATAATTTACGTGCCAATGCAGTAGTCGCTTACATTGTATTGTTTTCGCTACCAGGAAGCTGCGTGGCGCTGGCTGGTGGAGAGGGGTGGCCATCACTGACTATCTGCAGTGCGAGTGTGGTGCGCGACAGTGACACATCATGAAGTACTTGTGGACCTTCGCTCTACTTCACGTGCTGGCAGTTCTGACCGCAGGACTCACCGTGGGCTCTTCCCTTCACTGTGCCGTCCGTCGGGAGATCTCCCCATGTACCTGCAAGCACCACGAGGAGCGGCCAGGCAGCATACAGGTGACCTGCGAGAGGATGACCAGCTTCATGCAGGTCGTGACGGCGCTCAAGGATAGGTTCGAGGAGGATGTGACCATCTCGCTGACGATATCCTACTCGCAACTGGAGGATTTGCCTCTACTCAGCTTCCTCAAGCTGGGCCTCAACGTGGAGACGTTGAAACTCAACCATGACGACCTTAGGTGAGTACTGAGTTACGTTATTAAATCTGATTCTAACAATTGTATGAACAAATACCCATAGAAAACCCGCAGACTAAGCAAATTTCTATAGATTTTGATTTTTATTAAAAATATTTTTTTATTGGGTTTAACCTAGGTTTTCTGCTACAGGGAGTTACTAGTATGTTTTTTGTAAAATATTAATAGATTAGTAAAAAATAAATTTGTCAAATTTGATCACAAAATAGCCATAAACAAGCAAACCACAACAGTTTACCTTCCATAAAAATAAAATGGGAATTTTCATTAGTTTAAATTTTCTCCGTAAATAACCGTACAAAAACAACTTAAAAATACTAAATTACTTGTTTTTTAAGCTGAAAACGGTTTAGGGAGAAATTGGGACATTTTATGTTTTGAGGGTTAAAATTAAAAAAAAAAATAATTACCCCATAAAATTCCGTTCCCATAGTTCGATCACGCTGGTTCGTGGACTCGTTCGAATAAATTAAATGTCAGTTTACACGTTTGTAACTATAAGGTTGTGAATTTCATCAAAATCGGAAAGTAAATGTGTCCCGGGTCCAGGTCTTGCCATGCTACGGTAATACCTTATTTCATCTGGGAAATTTGCTACAAAAAACGTGACTATAGGTGTCTCCTGTGTGTAACGAACAAATTACCATTAAAACATAATAGCATTTAACTTAGCACTTAACTACATACAATACTTAGTTTCTTATACAATGGGTTACCTTTCAAGTTAGATTTTAGAAGTATTTTTTTACTGGGAATAAAATTAAGATTTGCCTCAGAGTATGTTTCTTAGAATTTACGTGGGCTATTGTAAAATTTCACCCTAGCTAGAGAGTCATTAAGGGTCCAAGTTTTGTATTTTTATAGAATTACTAAGATAGAAAGTATTTTTCTTTATTTATTGTTTTAGAGTGACTCATCCAACCATGTCACATTTGAAGATAAAATTTGATACAACTTGTCAATAACAAGTTTATAGAATGTTTACTTCTTTGAAATTATTAAATAAATATCTCATTAAAAATCTCAAAATCTCATTAAAATAAACAAACAATATACATTATATTTGTACTCTCATGGTAGCAAGCCTACAGACTAAACCAATTTACATTTACCTGATTGGAATTTCATTAAGCTATTTCCTTAAACATGTAAGATTTTTGTGATTTCAAATAACAGTAGGTTTATCGAGCAAATCCAAAAGCTAATATTAATCCGGTTTTCTTAACAAACTAATAACTATGAAGACAGGATTTTTTTGTAAATCTTATTTGCTCTACTTTGCTATCTGATACACTGTAAACTGAAACAGACCTTAAAAATGAAAATCATGTTAATAGATTCAAATAATTAAATGGATTTTCTTTGATGGGGGTGTTCGTACAGGTTGACAATTTTATGAAGGGTTTGAAAAGTAAAGGCTAAATTGTGTAAAGTACAATTTATAATTTGTGTAAGCCAATGCAGCGTTATTTTTAAAGTATATAGCTTAAATTATTATGAACTATATTAGTACATTTTTAAAGTAAAAGTTGAGATGACAAATAAAAAAATGTGAGTTTGCGTTTGGATAGAAATAAAAAAAAATAATTTTACAGGGTATTTCATCAATTCGAGTTTTGAATAGAATAGTATATTTTACTATAAAACCCATATATAAAAATTTGAACGAATGGTGTTTTTGGCCTCTGGGGACATCAAAATGAAAATTAAATCGGTCCCGGTCCTAGGTCTTACCACGAGACCTACGGTAGTCTATTGGCTATAGGGAAATTCGCTAAAAAGAATGATATTTGAATGCCATCCATAATACTAATGTAAAACGTTTAGATAAATCTTTACTATTTTCTATCGGTTCAACTTTTTATATATCATTTTACTCAAGAGACTCTCTAGTGTTAATTTTGATGTATAGTTTGTTTAGTTACTGTGATATAAACCTGTTTTAAAAGTTAACAAGGAAAACTGCTACTGAATTAGGGCTAGGCTACCCAAACCCCCATTTTTGGTCAATTCTGACTGAAAATTGCAAGTTTTTTGAATAGATCTGTATCGTATCATATTTTCGAAATTTTGTTTATAGTATAATTTGACTATAAAATAGTTCAATGAAATAGTTCAAAATTCAATAAGATAGTTTTTTTTATTTATATACTTTTTCTGGCTAATAAAACTTTAAGTTAATATCTATTCATACGTTCAGAAATTATAAACAAAATGAAAGTAAATGTTTTACAAGATTAAATCTATTATTGATTAGCATCACCTTTAAGCCTTTTTTCGTAAGAGGAATTTTTTAAAGTGTTTTCTAATTTGTTATAAAAACGGTAAACTTTTCCTAAAATCCACTTTTCAAACAAATAATTAGGTATACACATTTTTTCTTTAACATTTATGTAAAAAAAGCTATTATTAGTAAGTTTTGTATACCTTAAATTCCTACGAAAAATTGTATTTTTACCAAGCATTTACTTGAAAAAATTACAGTACCACTTTAACTGTTACTTTTTACGATTTGAAATTCCTCAAGGAAAATTCATCACAAAATTACACCAAACTTTGTATTTTTTAAGTATAAAACTCATCTCCTCCAAGTACAGTATGTAGTAGGTAGGGTTAGGTAAGTAGTAAGGTTATAGGTTCAAGATGCGTGTAAGTAGCGACTACTAGCATGTTCTAAAAGCGTCCCTGATAACGAATTAAAAGATAAAATTTTTTTAATATCAAAATTGTCTTGAATGTGACAAAACATATCTATAGACTATAGCTTGACTCAGCGCTTAGATAAATTGTTTGTCTGAAGTCACTTTGAACCGGAATTTCTTTGTTTACTATCCAAGTCACCATTATTATCACGGCGCGGTGGAATAATAACAAACTACACTATAGACTTTGGTCCAAAACATGTTACTTTTGGGCAGGCTTTTTAACATAAAAAATCAAGTTCTAGAAGAAAATCTTAACTATTGCTTTCACGAGTGAAAGTCAGTAGAGCGGAGCGCGATCACGTTTCATGGCTTTTGGTAAAGTAATAAATTATATCAACGTTTACAGATAGACCTATAATACAACTATTTCATCACTTTAACTTATCAGTTTGTCTCAGAACTATCTACATCTATAACAAGTTTTATAAGTAAAGATGTGGTCATTACATACATATCCTTTGTATCGATATTTTTCTATGTTTGCTTGCTAATGTCATCTGGCGAACCCACAATTCTGGTTGAACCCGACCAATCGACATTTTCTCAATCTTGGCCAGATTTGGCAGTTCAGGCAGAAATGATCATGCATGGATCCACATGATTAGCACATGTAATTTTGTTTAAAGACTTACCTGCTTTGAGAGAGTTGCACAGATAGATTTTGTTCATTTGACATATAAAACTTTGTTTTTCACCACACTATGATGTTTTTGGCTGTATACGTTAATTGGTGGCTGAAAGTTTCGTTTTGCTGGCCATGCCAGCTGTCATCGTAATTTGGGGACCTAGCAGGTTTTTACAGGCCGGGGCCGCAAAATCAGCTGTCCGCTTACTTACTTAAAACATGGATGCATTTTAAATACACAATCAAAATCCATAGCATTGCAATAGAATTGTGTTATTGCGTTGCCTAGCAACTATTAATTTTTATTTTTACTGATTCCTCAAATTATTTCTTCACATAACCTAAAGTTGTAGTTGTGTTGACTATCAGTGTGCATTATTATAGTGGTGAATAGTGGTAATAGGGTATAGTGTGGTGAAAAATAGCGTTCGTACCACGGACCGAAATGGGTTTGCAGCTCTCGATTGATCTAAGTTCTCGACATCGTCTCGAACTTAAAAACTACGGTATCTCGAGCCGGCAAAACCTCATTTTCGGCCCTTGGTAAGAAATATACTATTCAAGCAAGTGTTGTTCTACATTATTTCCCGTATTCATTTTCTACAAATATCAGACAGTTTTTGAGAATGCATTCGGAAATTTTCCTTTATTTGACACTTATGCGAATTAGGTATTTTATTGTAGAACGAAAACGCAAAAAACTATTTTAGGCTTACTTTGGGCAATAATATACCCCAAATCGTTGTGAATAGTGTCAAAATAACATGACAATCAAGTGTGTTGCCAACACGTTATCCTATCATCAAAAATATAACTCAAATCTTACAATATGTCGGAAGGTATAGAATGTGTTATTTAGACTCAGTTTCAAGACTTCAATAGTTTTTATGAAAGAAACGTACAATAGTCTGAAGACTGAAGTACCCAGTCTATTCTGTGTTACGGAAATCACAGGGCTGGCAATGGTATAAATGGAGCCTCAGTCGGTGTCTTGGCGTCTACGATCAGGAGAGTAATTAAAGTATCACGTTTTTGATATTTTGACTTGTGTCTTTAAAAAAATATACCATAAAAACGAAAATAATATACGTCTTGTCAACAATAGTTATTTGTGCAACTAGTGAGAAAAGTGAGCAATTGACTCACTCGAGAGAAATCCTTACTCACGAGCCGTAGGCGAGTGAGGAATGGTTTCTCGAGTGAGGCAATTGTACTTTGAACTCGAGTTGCACATTATACTTTTCCTACAGTTACCATAAAACAAATACATTTGTGAAGAAACATAACCTATTTTTACAAAGAAGTGAACTTTTAATATAACATTTAATGTGAAATGACAAATACAACAGTACAACAGCTGACCAGCTGATTTACAGCCAGTGCTGCCAACGTTTTTCGCGCGCATACAACGTTGCCTGCATGTTACGCGTTCACTATTTCGTGCCTTCACGTTGCAAATCTGGAGTGAGACAAAGTAATTAGAGTGAGACAATGTTAACATTGTCTCACTGATGAGCGAATTGGCCACTTTGCTTTCTCAAATCAGTGAGAGAACATGTATGTTAGGTAACTGTAGGAAAAAATAAGTATTCTGCCAGACAGCTAATTAGTTTATATTATAACTTATATACAGGGTGTCCAGCTTCGACTAA